TGTGCTGACAAGCCCATCAGTTAATGTTTTCAGCTGAACTTCTCTCAATTAGGTCCTTTGTCAGAGTCAATCACAAAGTAAATGGACCAGGTAGAGTTGCCACATGCGACTTTTGCTTGCTCAGCTTCAGACAAAGGAGAACAGGGATCTGTTGCTTTGGTAATGACAACAGGAAAGCATGGCTTAATCCCCAAATCGGCTCCAAGGCGTTTAGCAACGTGGGGCTGTTCACAGGGTATCCTTGTCAGAGACACAGTTTTGTCAACAGTAGTGCCCACAATTCAACAATCTGTAGCACGGGGCACACTGCAGGCTATGGGGTTATCTCTGCACACTCTGGAGTGTAGATGCTGTTTAGCAACATACTACTATCTCATCTCAAACATTTTTTTTTTTCTTTCCCCCAGGATTAGTACCCAGCTTGTTACATCAGCTGCACATCTTTGCCTTGCATTGGCTCACTCACCTTTGGCTGGTTCAAAAGGTGTATGAGCATACTCACAAAATCCATACTCACATACGGCACCAACTTGTGCATCTTTCATTGTGGGGAATTTGTGCCCCATAACGCTCTGTCAGCTGCTCATGACATATCTATCCCTCCATCACAATTTTTTCCCCCTGATTTTTACTACAAGCTACTTCATTTCCAGAAGTATACTGTTTCAGGGAAGAAAAACTTTGCAAGCCCTAACCTCTTCCTAGTTGTGTCAGATACTTTACTAGCATGAAAATCTCATATTTTAAAATAAAATGCAGACATAAAATTGCTAGTATTAAAATAGAGCTTATTTAGTTAGTATCAAATCCTCTGTATGTTCACCAGTTCATTCTTAACACTCATGAGAGATTTGTTTGTTTTGTGGGGTGGTGTTTCTTTTTAACTATCCAGTCTATTGGTTTTCAAGTGTTCACACACTAATTTCAGTTCACTGAAACTCCATCAACTGACATTAACAGAAACACACTGTTTAAGGCTGCCCTAAAGAAAAAAGTATATGCAATTTCTATAAGTAATCTGAAAACTCAAGAAAACAAAACTACTGAGGTCCCAGAACTCATTCACATGCTACTGTTCCCCAATTCAGTGTTTTTTCCAACAGGGCTGGCAAAGCACAGAAGGCTACTTTAACTCACACCACTATGCACAGCAGGGACTAGCAAAGTGAGTAATTTCCCAGGAAAATAAATCCAGTATGCACTAGAGTTCAGACAGCAATGAATATACCAAGAAAAAGCAATAACTATTCTTTATTAATTTACATTTAACACTGCATCAGAAAAAAAAAATAGCCACTTGCAAAGTGATCAATCTCCTCTCAGTGTTCAGCTCTTCCACACACTTGTGTTCTTCATTCTTCTGTAATTCCTTATTAAGTTTAGGATGCTCTCCTAGATAACTTTTCTTAGAAGCTCAACTGTCTCCAGACTTGTATTATAACAGAACTTTGAGAGCTTATTTCATGAAGGTTAAGAGTCATTAGCATTGTTGAACTGACAACACCTGTACACAATTTAACATCAAGCTGACAACAGTAATTTGATATTAAAATCAAGCTCAACTAAAGCATTTTGACAGTTAACCACATTTCTGTTGGGAAGCCCATTCATGGTTGGACTAGTCATGCAGACAATGAAGCACAGTACATGTGGGGGAAACAAGGAAAGGCAAGGTTGCAGCATCTGCATATTTACAGGGTGAAGGGGAGACTTCTAGTCTGACTGCTAAACAACATGTCAAATGCAAAGTGACAGAGCAAGTGAATCAGCCTGTGCAAATTGGAAAAGGCAAAAAACAGTGCTGCAGTAGTAGAAAGCCCATTCATGTCTTTCACTGACACCATTAGAGCATCTTTAAGTCCACATTTTTTTCCTGAAACTCAGTATTCTCTATCATATTTCTCACTGTGAGTTGAAAAGATGAACAGCACAAGTCTAAGATGTCTAGCATTTGATGCTATTAAAAGCTATGAGAACCAATACTTGTTTAAACTGGTTGCAGTGAGCCCGGAGGGCTCAAGGAGCTGAACTCCCCTGACAACAGACAGGCCACATCCATGCTTACACCACCTAGCCTCGGCTCTCCCTGTGGCCCACATGGTATTCCTGTGGCCCCAAGACAGTGAGGGGACTGTCTCCCTCAACCCACCAATTGCCATATCAAAGCACCTGAAGCAACCGAGGGCTCTGCTGCAGTCATCAGCTGCTGACTGTATGTATTGTTTGCCCTGGAGCACAGCATGAGGGTTTAAGTGAGAAAAGTAAGGCTACTTGATACAACTGTATGAGAACAGAAGCAGTCCAAACTGTGCAGCCAGCCTCATTGACAATGCCTTTTGGGAGAAGGCACTGGAACAAACCAACCCAGGACCCTGTCCCACTGACAGAAAGTTGGTGAAAAGAAATCCAGGAAGCAAGCTGACAGCCTGCAGCAGTATAGATGACCAATTGCTAAGTAAAAGCTGTGGAGCAAGGGCAAAGTAAACAGTGGCAAGAGCTATCTAGAACCAAGACCTAACGTAACAGATGCTCCTTCCCTGCAGGAAGGCCACCAGGCTCACCTCCCCATATGCATCTTCCCACAGCAGTAAGAATACTGTGAAATATCCTCTAGTGTGATACATAATGCAACTTAAGTTTTATTTAGCAGCATAGTGAAAAGCTAGATGATTCAAAGTGTCATGCTGCTGGAAAGCAAAAGATCAGCAACAGTAAAACACACAGGAAAGAACCCATTTAGAATGGTATGAATGCTCAGCAATTGCTAAAGCTCATTTGTTACAAGTGACTTTCAGGAAACAGCATGAGGGGGGGGTGGTGAGAATAGGATGCTATCTACTTGAGGACAGTTCTGAAAAGCAATCAAAAAAACTGACTGGACCTAGATTTTATCTACTTATAGTTCTCCAATATATTGAACTCCCAAGCCTATACTGAGAGCAACAAGTACATCCCCACAGGGGCTCTGCTTTACCAGGGAAACCAGCAACTTGACCAACTTTCTTCTGTTAACCTGAGTACACTGTACACCACCCAGGTTTGTCTTTCCCATTAATTCCTCCCCATCTGTCCTACACAGACAGGTCAACTCTTACATCTTCTTTTGCCCTTTCAAACACTCATTAGTATTATACTGAAGCACTTGAGGAAGGCTCTGGAATTTGCAGCAACAAGTATTTTCAGTTGACAGTGTAGTAAGAAAATTCAGGTTAGATACTTCAAATTTTAGAGTTTTATAAGGACCTTACTCAGAGGCGCTTCTAGATGACAGTTCAGTTACCTCCTGGAAAAGTTATACAACATAAGATAGTTTTGCAGAAAGTTCCTGGAACATGTCAAAAGGTGGGTCATTTAACTCTGGAAACCACTCCTTTAGAAGAGGTTATCTTCTTAAGGGGAATGATCAGATGAGATCACAAAGGGAAAAGCCATTTGAGAATTCACATCTCACGTCACTTTCAGACTCAAGGAAACACAAGAAAGCAAAATGAGGCCATGTACTCAAAATAAGCCAACTTCTAAATCTTGCAAGTCATTTTTATTTTAGATATTTTACCTTCTAATTGTTCAGAGTCTGTGTATCCTTGACACTTTCTTTTTAGGGGAACTAAATACAAGCTTAGCCCAATACAGAGGAAGGACAGCAGCAGAGTACTAAATTACCAATTTAGCTGTTTTCACTGGCCTCAGAAACAAAAGGTTATCCAGAACTGGAATCTATCAAATTATTCAGTAAGAACACAGAAGCACAAGTAACTAAAAACAGTGTGAGAAATACTGTAAAAAACCAAGAGGAAAGTAACAGGTTTTTCTAGGCACATCAAGTATAAAAACCAAATACTTTTTATCAGAAGTCACCAGCGTGACATTTGAGAAGCTGACTGAAATATACTAAGAACTTCATGACTGAGAAAGAAATAAAAACATCAGCTTACTTGTTACCTTAAGTCAGGCCAAGTTTACTAGTGTAGTTGATCTACACTACTTCTAGATGTAAAAATACATAGATATAGAGCTACACATACATTCACATTCAGTAAACAGACACATAAATTCCAGCAGGCAATACATTTGCCTAGGATCTGATTTTCCTACTAGACATATCAGTTCTCTCTGTTATAAGAAAGCAAGAGAGGACTAACATAACTTGAAAATTCTTAGGCAATTCTCATATATGTTGAGTGTGGCCAACTGAGCTACTTAAGAGAACACCTAGGAGAAGAGAGCTAACAAATTAAAGCTTATTTACCTTAACTCCAACTCTGGAGAACACCAAAGTAAGTAGAGATTTCAAAAAAGGACAAGAGCAGCAACTGCCACAACAAATGTTAAGAACAACTGAGTAACTTGAAAGAAATGAAGTGCAATAAAATTACAGTAGTTACTAATAAATAGGTCAGATAAATACAGCAATTAACTAACCTTGACACTGTAAAGCAGCTTCAGGAAATAAAGCTAATGTGGTTTTGCTTACCAGTTTATCCCAGCAGATTCTGCTTATTTAGTGTCACTAATGACACCAATCACCTCTGTCACGCTGTTAAGTTACTACAGTAGTTGCTTGACAACTTGAAGCATACAGTGAAGTGTTTAAAAGCACATACAACAAGACAGAGACAGTTTTCATCATTCACATGTTAAGGTTAGACTTGAATGTATTTAGACATATTCAATTGTCAGAAGAATTGCAAATACATCTAACTGACTTGAGCTGTCCTGTCTCTGGAAGGACTGGCCTTGAAGCCAAGGCACTATACACTGTTACTGCATCAATACAGTCCAGACTGACCAATTCAACTGTTCTGATGTCCAAACTGCAATATGACAGACAAGATTATCAACAGTATTCTGCTTTATTTTAGTCACTTTATACACAAGGCTGGTAAAAGAACAGTTTGCCCTGCCAGCAACCCAGAATAAGCCCAACAGAGGGAGAAAAATATCTGTAAAGGAGGACAGAGTGGACATAATCTATAGGAAGGAAGACAAAATCCACTCACCTGCCATTTTTTTTGATGTAGGTTGCTAAATAACCATGGTCTTCCCAGTTATGCACTGTTTCTGTCATTCCCTGCTCCTGAAAAATGGGCTGTAGAGCTTTAAGAACGGCATTGCAGTCAGCTGTGAGATTAAGAGAGAAATAATCAGTAAGGATTTTCCACTCAAATCAGTTCTGCTTTTTTTTTTTTTAAAAGGCTAAATAGTTTTTGCCAGCAGCCTGGAGTACTTTTTCTTTGAGTTTCATCTGAACAACAGCTTTCATATACCTTCTCCCCCCAGCCCTTCCATCCCCAGAGATATTCCTCAGTGCATGGGGATCCAAACAATTTTCTTTTTAATCAGTCCTTAACCCTGAGCAAGTGTTTATCTACAATGGATGGAATAAGAGTACTTTTATTATGGCTACTATTGGTTACCTACTTTATCACAATCCAGGCAAGTCCTTAGTCATGGAACTATTTTTACATCACTTAAAAATATACAAACAACAATCCCAGAAATAAACCATAGCACTGACAAGAAGTTTAGTGGTTTTCTTGTCTCACAGCTCAACATATTTTTCAAAGGCATTGAAAACTAGACAGGGCAAGCTACCCTATCCACTCTGCTCTACAGAAACATCCTTTTTCTAATATCCAGAACAGAGCAGGCCTCCAACTGAAATCTTCATTATGCTATGCAAAAGACCTCTCACTCAGAAGAGTGCACAAAAATTCACTTGGGAGTAACTAAAGAAGTTACTCTGGCAATTATCTTCAAAATAAGCTGATGATCTGTCCATAGAGGTATTTCTTCAGTCAGAATGTGCTGATTTTAGAAGCCTCAGGTCTGCTGTACATATTAGTTCAGTGGGTTGTTTGTTTTTGAGGTTTTTTTTTAAATAATCTTCATTGCAAGAATTTTAGATGCTCCACTCAAGTGTCCCAAAGACAAAAACTACAAGTTTTGTGAGTTGATTTTGCAATTGACAAGGTGAATTAGCCGAGAATGCTGGTAAAACTGCACCTACCACAACAGGAACAAAACTGGTAAGACTGTCATACCAGTAACTGCGTCAGTGAGACTTACACAATATTAATCTATAGGCTGCCCCAGTAAGGCAAGTATCATTTTTGCTTCACAAACACAAAACTAAGCCACTACAGTCATGCAATATGTCAATAATGTAAGCAGGATTTAGTGTCTCTATCAGAGAGATCACCTGGCACAGCCACATTACAGAGGCACAGTTTATAGCCAAATGCTTCAGCACTGACACGTTGTTCCCCCTGCCATGCCCTAGTAAAGAGTTATTCCCAAGGCAATTATTTTGTTTTACTCCCTGCCCCCAAATGCAGTAAATCTTGGAAACCAGTAAGGGTAGCCTGCAGACATAATCAGTGACATTTTCCAGGATGTTACTGATTTGTACAAGCTTCAAAACAAACAAATCTATATCAAGTAAATCACAAAGTTTGGCTCATCTATCATCTCAATGCAACTCCACAGTAGACTAAACTGAAAACCTGATTACTTGAAATCTATGTTTGCCCATCTGTAAAGTCTGGGCTCCATTATCCATGTATGTTTTAACCAGACAGACTGAAACAACAGATAAAGCATTTACTTTAATTTTCCTCTACACAAAGTCAAGAGCAAGCCAATTTCCCAGTATCTTGCCAACGATATTTAATGAAAGTTGTAAGGTCCTGCTTCTTACTGCTCACACTATCTGATCTTGAATGCATGTTCTGAGATAAATATTTATTTTCCATCTCCTATATCTCACTCATTAACCCACAGAATCACACAGAATGGTAGGGGTTGGAAGGGACCTCAGGAGATCATCTAGTCCAACCCCCTGCCAAAGCAGGTTCCCTACATGTAGCAGGTTGCACAGGAAAGCATCCAGGTGGGTTCTGAAGATCTCCAGAGATGGAGACTCCACAGCCTCTCTGGGCAGCCTGTTCCAGTGCTCTGTCACCCTCACAGCAAAGAAGTTTTTCTTTAAATTTGTGTGGAACTTCTGATGTTACAGTTTTTGCCCCTTGTCCTGTCACCAGGCACTCCTCATGTTGCAAATTACAGGGAAACAGAACCAATGACAAATAAGTTCTGTTGGATAACAGTGGATGATTTGACTGTTGGCCCTTTCACAGTCAGTAGTACTGATGATTTTTACCCTCAATGATGAAACACCCTCCCCACAGTTTACTATCACTATGAAGCTTTTTTCCTCTCCCTGCCCTTCAATCAAAATCTGCATCATTTGTACTAGTAAGTTTTTATACTTCCCATCAGTCAGGTACCACCTTGGTGCAGGCAATAATTATGGCTCAGAGTACACAGTTTATCTGCACAATATCCATGGTTACAGTAGTAATAAGTGCATCAACAATCAAGCCAACAGCTTTTTAGGACATCAAAAGCATAAAAGAAATGGGCCCATAATTAGAGCCACAGTTCTTAAGCTGGTTCCAGTTTCTGCAGATTTGTATTGGAAAGGGAACTTTGCAGTGCTCACTTTAAACCTGCAGCTTCTTGCATGCATCAACACTTTTGGGGAGGACAGGAGCAGCTGCTCCAAAGTTAGCACATTCACAACAATTTCTGTCACTTCAGACATGTGGTCCCCTCTTCTTGCTTGGCATTTGCTTCCTTGCCCCACTCCTTTACCTTCTGCCTCATCTTTTACAAAACCCATGGTCATTTCCTTTCCTCACTTATTTCTTAAGTCACCACCACAACATTAAACAAGAACTCAGTTTAATAATGCATGCCATACCCTTCCAGGCCAGCAAATTAGCAGGAAACTCAAAGTGAAGCAGCATGCAAATAACCCCCAGATCACTTAAATTCTGCAGCTCCTGCAAGATACTGAAGTAGTATGATGTAGAACAGACTCTGGAAGAACTGAAGTGCTCATACCACATTTAGCCTATCTGCTTTCAACAGCTCCAAGGTGTGTCTTGGCAGAGGCTGCAGGACAAATTGTCACAGATACTGTTCTGCTCCATGAACGTACTGATCCCTCACAAGCTGCTCATCATTCAGCAGCAAATTTCTTTGCTAAGCAGCCAGGCACAAGCTTGACCGAGTTCTTCCTATTATGCAATTAACTTTAGGAAATTAAAACAACAACAACATGCTCTTTCATCAAGTCTCCTTTTGGTTATACCACACAAGATTTGCCTTGAAGGGCTAATTAATTCTCCAAAGTTGGAAACTCCTTTTTAAAATGTTTGAGGCATCAGTGGTTGCTTGAAGGCATTAGGAAGTTTCAGGAATCAGAGGATCTCTCACTCAAATCCACTTGCCAACACCTCACTCCAAGCTCAGATACAGTATATAAAGCATTGATAAAAGAAAATGACAAGGATTATTAGACCAGTAGGAATACCTTTGTATCTGCATCAAAAAGTTAATTCAAGTAACCATTAATGGGTTTTTTTGCTATTCAAGAACAAAGGACACAAACTCCAGTTACCAAGCATGAAATACTGTTGTAACTATTTGATAATTATTTGCCAGAAGGAATGAAGAGGCTCAGAATTTCAACTCTAGAAAAGAAAAACTGTGTATAAGATTTTAGATAATACATATTTCTCAAGAGACTTAATGCTCAGTTAAACCATGCAGTTTTGGAATCCCAGCACTCTTGAGATTATTTGCAGCAGCTGCAGACATTCCTCTGAAATTTTTGGAGCTAAGAAGCCATTATTTGACAGTGATCTGTGAACGTGAGCACAGCTCAAAGTCCAGAGTTATTGTAAGCATCCAGTCTAGCCTCATACATAACACTGGCTAGTTTCACCCAGATACTCCAACACTGAGCTCAGTAATCTGCTATTGAGCCAGACTATCTCTAGAAATATCCTGGTTTACGACCTCTTCATACCAGAGGATTGACAAAATCTTAGTAAACTATGAGAACAGATTAGCTCTCATTTGAAAAATATTTACCCCATTTATGACTTCAATTTTTTCTTACCTTGATTTTGAGCCATTTCCTCTAGCAAGCAAGAATGTAACACAACCAAAACAAGACAACATATAAAAGCACTTATACATGCTGCCACATCTCTGACATATTTTTCCCTTATTTACACTTTCAATAGAAAAAGGTGAAGGGAAAAATTCCAGTTAAGTGAACAGCTTCATTAAGAATACATTAAAGAATTAGTGTACATAGGAGTCAAATGCAGAATATGCTAATAGCAATCAGCAACCTGCATGACTGGCATACTGTTTCAGTTCAGAGCTGTATAAATTGATTATTTCAATGTATTAAGTCATTGTGTTGTGCAAGTCTTAAATCCTCACACACAGGCACTCTACCTATCAACTCCAATTCTTCAAAAACCTCACAGGAAAAGGAAACATGCAGAGACAAGATGGGAGGGTGTCAGATATAAGTGATGAAGGAAACAATCTGAGAAAATATATTATTTTCTAGCCAGGTGAGGTCCCAGGGGCAGTTCAAGAGGAGGGCACCAGGGGGCTGGGCCTTCAACCTGCTGCGGTGGCACACCTGACTGCTCTGGCAGCAAGCCCACCAGAGTCAAGCCAGTCCACTGATGGTGCCTGCCTCCCTCCACCACCACTTACTGGAAATACAGTAACCAGGCATACAGGTGTACTGGGGTTCCTCTCATTCATAGGCTAACCTAAGGCATTCCTCCAATGTCAATATTGTATCTCAATCTTAATGAAAAAAATTCCAGAATCAGGGGTGTTCTGCAGAAATGCTTAGTGAGCAAAATGTTCATAAATTTTAAAAATCCAGAGCTGAACAGCCACTTTATGCACCAGTGCCTGTATTTCACATGTCCTACATTTCCTTTAGGCACTAAAACTAATGGAGAAATAACAAAGAGACAAGAAGGCATGACAGTTTATGGAAAGCCAACAGCCTCATCCTACTGGCTCCCTCACACATAAGAGTATAGAGCATTACACAATAATTTGCAGACAACTGGTTATCATTTACTCACCAACTCCTGCATAGCAATCTTTTTCTCAAAACTGGAAAACTTAAGAATTGTACTCCTTTTGTCCCGGTTAAAAGCATCTGCCTGCATGGAAAACGAGCGTGCAGAGTACACTAGTGTTTGAAACACTATCCAGAGAAGTTTCTACAGAAATATCACAGGC